TCTGGTCCGGAACACTCAGGGTAGACTGTGTGATCACTTGCTGAGGGTGGAGGGGGGGAGCCAGAGCGATGGAAGTGGATATCTTGCCATTTGCGTACGCATGCACACCCTGCTCTCTCTGATTGGACGGTTCGTGGCGACCGTTGGCTCATCGATGTATATGTTGTGACGATGTAGGCGTTGCGGCGGCTCCTCCCGACCAGGTGGCTGTGGGGGTCAGGATGTGGAGGGGTGTGCACGCGTTGGAGTTTTTCGACCAGGACTGAGGAGCAGAGCAGGTCAAGCCGACTAAAGCAGGCCTTAGGTAGGACTGCAAACCAGACCTAAAGTAGGATTACGGTTCAAAGTAAAACACTGTGGAAGTCGAGTCTTACCCCTAGATTACCCAGCGCTCAGGGTTCAACCGCCGTCACAGAGGCGGGTCGTCGAACGTTATACTGCAAAATAATTAATCCGTGCGTCACAGTGTTATCTCGTATATTACAGTGTAATCCCGTATAATTCCAGTTGCCCGTATAATCCATGTGTAGGCCCAGTCATATTCATTATAAGGAAGTATCAGTACAATCAGTTTATAGTTTAACTGTTACCCCAGTATTATCAGTGTATGTCGATGTAATAGTGTATCCAGTACAATCCAGTACTAATCCAGTGAATCAGTGGTGGGATTTGACGTGTAGCTCTCTCAAAGTCGTTGCTGATGGCGCTCAATGAGTGCTCTGGTACACGATGATGTCTGTTTACGAGCTGTCAAACCAACACATGTTTCCTTAAATACAAGTAGGGGATGGCGGAGCAGGAGGAGGAGGAGGAGGAACAGCACAGAGGCTGGACAGGAGGCGACTGAGACATGTATACTGAGACATGTATACTGAGACATGTTTACTGAGACATGTATACTGAGACATGTTTACTGAGACATGTATACTGAGTCATGTATACTGAGTCATGTATACTGAGTCATGTATACTGAGTCATGTATACTGAGACATGTATACTGAGACATGTATACTGAGACATGTATACTGAGTCATGTATACTGAGACATGTATACTGAGACATGTATACTGAGTCATGTATACTGAGACATGTATACAGAGACATGTATACTGAGACATGTATACTGAGTCATGTATACTGAGACATGTATACTGAGCGACATGTATACTGAGCGACATGTATACTGAGAGACATGTATACAGAGACATGTATACAGAGACATGTATACAGAGACATGTATACAGAGACATGTATACAGAGACATGTATACAGAGACATGTATACAGAGACATGTATACTGAGTCATGTATACTGAGACATGTATACAGAGACATGTATACTGAGAGACATGTATACTGAGAGACATGTATACTGAGACATATGTATACTGAGACATATGTATACTGAGACATGTATACTGAGAGACATGTATACAGAGACATGTATACAGAGGCATGTATACAGAGGCATGTATACTGAGACATGTATACTGAGTCATGTATACTGAGACATGTATACTGAGACATGTATACTGAGACATGTATACTGAGTCATGTATACTGAGACATGTATACTGAGACATACTGAGACATGTATACAGAGACATGTATACTGAGACATGCATACTGAGACATGTATACTGAGACATGTATACTGAGAGACATGTATACTGAGACATACTGAGACATGTATACAGAGACATGTATAACGAGGCATGTATACTGAGACATGTATACAGAGGCATACTGAGACATGTATACTGAGACATGTATACAGAGGCATACTGAGACATGTATACTGAGACATACTGAGACATGTATACAGAGTCATGTATACTGAGACATGTTTACTGAGAGACATGTATACTGAGAGACATGTATACAGAGACATGTATACAGAGGCATGTATACTGAGACATGTCTACTGAGACATACTGAGACATGTATACAGAGACATGTATACTGAGACATACTGAGACATGTATACAGAGACATGTATACTGAGACATGTATACAGAGACATGTATACTGAGACATACTGAGACATGTATACAGAGACATGTATACTGAGACATGTATACAGAGACATGTATACAAAGGCATGTATACTGAGACATGTATACAGAGGCATACTGAGACATGTATACTGAGACATGTATACAGAGGCATACTGACACATGTATACAGAGTCATGTATACTGAGACATGTATACTGAGACATGTATACTGAGACATGTTTACTGAGAGACATGTATACTGAGAGACATGTATACTGAGAGACATGTATACAGAGACATGTATACAGAGGCATGTATACTGAGACATGTCTACTGAGACATGTATACAGAGACATGTATACTGAGACATACTGAGACATGTATACAGAGACATGTATACTGAGACATACTGAGACATGTATACAGAGTCATGTATACTGAGACATGTATACTGAGACATGTATACTGAGAGATGTATACTGAGACATGTATACTGAGACATGTTTACTGAGAGACATGTATACTGAGAGACATGTATACTGAGAGACATGTATACAGAGACATGTATACAGAGACATGTCTACTGAGACATGTATACAGAGACATGTATACTGAGACATACTGAGACATGTATACAGAGACATGTATACTGAGACATACTGAGACATGTATACTGAGACATACTGAGAGACATGTATACTGAGAGACATGTATACAGAGACATGTATACAGAGACATGTATACTGAGACATACTGAGACATGTATACTGAGACATACTGAGACATGAATACTGAGAGACATGTATACTGAGAGACATGTATACAGAGACATGTATACAGAGACATACTGAGACATGTATACTGAGTCATGTATAAAGAGACATGTATACAGAGACATGTATACTGAGACATGTATACAGATACATGTATACTGAGACATGTATGCAGAGACATGTATACTGAGACATGTATACTGAGACATTTATACAGAGACATGTATACAGAGACATACTGAGACATGTATACTGAGACATGTATACTGAGACATGCATACTGAGACATGTATACAGAGACATGTATACTGAGACATACTGAGACATTTATACTGAGACATGTATACAGAGACATGTATACTGAGACATGTATACTGAGACATGTATACAGATACATGTATACTGAGACATGTATACAGATACATGTATACTGAGACATGTATGCAGAGACATGTATACTGAGACATGTATACTGAGACATTTATACAGAGACATGTATACAGAGACATACTGAGACATGTATACTGAGACATGTATACTGAGACATGTATACTGAGACATGCATACTGAGACATGTATACAGAGACATGTATACTGAGACATACTGAGACATTTATACTGAGACATGTATACAGAGACATGTATACTGAGACATGTATACTGAGACATACTGAGACATGCATACTGAGACATGTATACTGAGACATACTGAGACATGTATACTGAGACATGTATACAGAGACATGTATACAGAGACATGTATACTGAGACATACTGAGACATGTATACTGAGACATACTGAGACATGTATACTGAGACATGTATACTGAGACATACTGAGACATGTATACTGAGGGTTTCTGGTCATGAAGCTAATGCTATGAAAATGCTAACGCTAAACCCAACATAGATTAAATAAAGTGGCTTTTTCTGCAGCTCTGAAGGCGCTCTGATTGGCCTGGCGCAGTCACATGACTCGATCTTTGCCTCTGATTGGTCAGAAGCTCCGGAGGCTCAGGAGACATGCCCAGACAGTCTACAGGTGACACACTTTATCTATATAGACATAGAGACCAGGGAGAGAGACCAGAGAGAGAGACCAGAGAGAGACCAGAGAGAGACCAGAAAGAGACCAGAAAGAGACCAGAAAGAGACCAGAGAGAGACCAGAGAGAGACCAGAAAGAGACCAGAAAGAGACCAGAAAGAGACCAGAGAGAGACCAGAGAGAGACCAGAGAGAGACCAGAGAGAGACCAGAGAGAGACCAGAGAGAGACCAGAGAGAGACCAGAGAGAGACCAGAGAGAGACCAGAGAGAGACCAGAGAGAGACCAGAGAGAGACCAGAGGGAGACCAGAGAGAGAGACCAGAGAGACCAGAGAGAGAGACCAGAGAGAGAGACCAGAGAGAGAGACCAGAGAGAGAGACCAGAGAGAGACCAGAAAGAGACCAGAGAGACCAGGGAGAGAGACCAGAGAGAGAGACCAGAGAGAGACCAGAGAGAGACCAGAAAGAGACCAGAAAGAGACCAGAAAGAGACCAGAGAGAGACCAGAGAGAGACCAGAGAGAGACCAGAAAGAGACCAGAAAGAGACCAGAAAGAGACCAGAGAGAGACCAGAGAGAGACCAGAGAGAGACCAGAGAGAGACCAGAGAGAGACCAGAGAGAGACCAGAGAGAGACCAGAGAGAGACCAGAGAGAGACCAGAGAGAGACCAGAGAGAGACCAGAGAGAGACCAGAGGGAGACTTATTCTCTCAGTGTGAATGAGGCTTGTACTTCCTCTCTGTAAACATCAGAGCTGTTGGAACATTCCTTTGGTTGCTCTGCAGTCGCACTGTCTGTAACACACACACACACACACACAGACACACACAGACACACACAGACACACACAGACACACACACACACACACACAGACACACACAGACACACACACACACACACAGACACACACAGACACACACAGACACAGACACACACAGACACACACAGACACACACAGACACAGACATCCCCCAGACTTATGAGGACCGGGGGATGGAGACTTATGAGGACTGGGGGATGGAGACTTATGAGGACTGGGGGATGGAGACTTATGAGGACTGGGGGATGGAGACTTATGAGGACTGGGGGATGGAGACTTATGAGGACTGGGGGCTGGAGACTTATGAGGACTGGGGGCTGGAGACTCATGAGGACTGGGGCTGGAGACTTATGAGGACTGGGGGATGGAGACTTATGAGGACTGGGGGATGGAGACTTATGAGGACTGGGGGATGGAGACTTATGAGGACTGGGGGATGGAGACTTATGAGGACTGGGGGATGGAGACTTATGAGGACTGGGGGATGGAGACTCATGAGGACTGGGGGATGGAGACTTATGAGGACTGGGGGATGGAGACTTATGAGGACTGGGGGATGGAGACTTATGAGGACTGGGGGATGGAGACTTATGAGGACTGGGGGATGGAGACTTATGAGGACTGGGGGATGGAGACTTATGAGGACTGGGGGATGGAGACTTATGAGGACTGGGGGATGGAGACTTATGAGGACTGGGGGATGGAGACTTATGAGGACTGGGGAGGGGATGGAGACTTATGAGGACTGGGGGATGGAGACTTATGAGAGTGGGGGATGGAGACTTATGAGGACTGGGGGATGGAGACTTATGAGAGTGGGGGATGGAGACTTATGAGGACTGGGGGATGGAGACTTATGAGGACTGGGGGATGGAGACTTATGAGGACTGGGGGATGGAGACTTATGAGAGTGGGGGATGGAGACTTATGAGGACTGGGGGCTGGAGACTTATGAGGACTGGGGGATGGAGACTTATGAGGACTGGGGGATGGAGACTTATGAGGACTGGGGGATGGAGACTTATGAGAGTGGGGGATGGAGACTTATGAGGACTGGGGGCTGGAGACTTATGAGGACTGGGGGATGGAGACTTATGAGGACTGGGGGCTGGAGACTTATGAGGACTGGGGGATGGAGACTTATGAGGACTGGGGGATGGAGACTTATGAGGACTGGGAGCTGGAGACTTATGAGGACTGGGGGATGGAGACTTATGAGAGTGGGGGATGGAGACTTATGAGGACTGGGGGATGGAGACTTATGAGGACTGGGGGCTGTAGACTTATGAGGACTGGGGGCTGTAGACTTATGAGGACTGGGGGATGGAGACTTTATGAGGACTGGGGGATGGAGACTTATGAGGACTGGGGGATGGAGACTTATGAGGACTGGGGGCTGGAGACTTATGAGACGGGGGGATGGAGACTTATGAGGACTGGGGGCTGGAGACTTATGAGACGGGGGGATGGAGACTTATGAGACGGGGGGATGGAGACTTATGAGACGGGGGGATGGAGACTTATGAGGACTGGGGGATGGAGACTTATGAGGACTGGGGGATGGAGACTTATGAGGACTGGGGGATGGAGACTTATGAGGACTGGGGGATGGAGACTTATGAGGACTGGGGGATGGAGACTTATGAGACGGGGGGATGGAGACTTATGAGACGGGGGGATGGAGACTTATGAGGACTGGGGGATGGAGACTTATGAGGACTGGGGGATGGAGACTTATGAGACGGGGGGTTGGAGACTTATGAGGGAGCGTGTGTGTCTGATGAGAAGCTTCCAGATGAAGAGCATTATGTCCTTCTCTCTGCAGCGCCCCCTGGCGGAAACTCCAGGGGACTTCAGCTCTCCGGCCTCAGCCTCTGTCTGTCTGGACAGTTCTGCAGCCAGACACAAGAGGGCGCTGCGACAGAAGGCCAGGGCCAAGAGGAGGCACCCAGGACCAGGACCAGAGCCAGGACCAGGACCAGAGCCTCAGCCGGACTCAGGACCAGACCGTCTCCAGGACTCAGATGCCACATCCACAAACGGTAAGTGACTACAGACCTGATTTAATGAAGAGAGAGAGAGACCAGAGAGAGAGACCAGAGAGAGAGACCAGAGAGAGAGACCAGAGAGAGAGACCAGAGAGAGACCAGAGAGAGAGACCAGAGAGAGACCAGAGAGAGAGACCAGAGAGAGAGACCAGAGAGAGAGAGTCCAGAGAGAGAGAGACCAGAGAGAGAGACCAGAGAGAGAGGCCAGAGAGAGAGGCCAGAGAGAGAGGCCAGAGAGAGAGGCCAGAGAGAGAGGCCAGAGAGAGAGGCCAGAGAGAGAGGCCAGAGAGAGAGACCAGAGAGAGAGACCAGAGAGAGAGACCAGAGAGAGAAAAGACTTATTATTATTTTTATTGGCATGTGATAAGCAGGAAGTCAGAAACTAGGAAATTGCTTTTTATGCTTTAGAATCTCTCTGGTCTCTCTCTGGTCTCTCTCTCTGGTCTCTCTCTGGTCTCTCTCTGGTCTCTCTCTGGCATCTCTCTGGCATCTCTCTGGTCTCTCTCTGGTCTCTCTCTGGTCTCTCTCTGGTCTCTCTCTGGTCTCTCTCTGGTCTCTCTCTGGTCTCTCTCTGGTCTCTCTCTGGTCTCTCTCTGGTCTCTCTCTGGCATCTCTCTGGTCTCTCTCTGGTCTCTCTCTGGTCTCTCTCTGGTCTCTCTCTGGTCTCTCTCTGGCATCTCTCTGGCATCTCTCTGGTCTCTCTCTGGTCTCTCTCTGGTCTCTCTCTGGTCTCTCTCTGGTCTCTCTCTGGTCTCTCTCTGGTCTCTCTCTGGTCTCTCTCTGGTCTCTCTCTGGTCTCTCTGCAGATGTTCAGAATGACACAGACTCCAATGAGAGAAATTCAGGAGACGTAGACGAGACACGAGAGAAGTCTGCTGAAGGGAGCGTCCAGAGAGAGACCCGACTGGACCCAAGACTGGACCCAAGACTGGACCCAAGACTGGACCCAAGACCAGCCCCAGAGCCAGACTTGGTCCTGCAGAAGTCTGAAAGGTGAGTTTCTATGTGTGATTGTTTGGGCTGCTTTAAAGCTGGGGTCTGTGACTTTAAAGCTGGGGTCTGTGACTTTAAAGCTGGGGTCGGTGACTTTAAAGCTGGGGTCTGTGACTTTAAAGCTGGGGTCTGTGACTTTAAAGCTGGGCGCATTGCCGAGGACGTGGCTGAGAGCATGACCTGGGGGCGTGGCTTAGGGTGTGGCTTAGGGCTTGGCCTGGGGCGTGGCCTGGGGCGTGGCCTGGGGCGTGGCCTGGCCCATGCTGTCCTGCAGTATGATACAGAAAGTTTGGAGAACAGTCTGATAAGTTGCTTTGTATAGTTTCCCACATTTTCTTTATCTGTTTCCCACATTTTAAAATCCAAGGTATTTAAAATCTGTTACAAATGTTTTGGTTTGGTTTTACAAATGAATCTGAAAATGTTGCTCTACATTTTGTCGTGTAATAGAAAAACACAGAGTTTGGACTGAAGAGCAAAGGGCCCAGGACAGAGCCCTGTGGTGCTCCCTCTGAACGCTCAGAGCACTGACTTTCACACTGACTTTCAAAGTTACAGACCCCAGCTTTAAAGTCACAGACCCCAGCTTTAATACATACTGTGAATGTGTATCCACAGCTCGCCTCCTGCGCCTCCTGCTGCTGAGAGGGAGTACCTGCTTGACCATCCAGGACTCCTCTATGGTTCTGAGGAGAGACTGCAGCTGTCAGAGGAGGAGGAGGGGGAGGAGGAGAAGGAGAAGGAGAAGGAGGAGAAGGAGGAGGAGGAGAAGGAGAGGGAGGAGGAGAAGGAGGAGAAGGAGGAGAAGGAGGAGGAGGAGGAGGAGAAGGAGGGGGAGGAGGAAGAGAAGGAGGGGGAGGAGGCGAAAGAGGAGGAGAAGGAGGGGGAGGAAGAGAAGGAGGGGGAGGAGGAGAAAGAGGAGGAGGAAGAGGAGTCACTCCTGCAGCAGGTCCTCAGCTCCCTGAACACTCCCTTGAGCCATTTTAATGCACCACTCACAGATCACCAGCAGGAGGCGCCAGAGGAGGAACAGAAGAAACAGGTAATGTCACTTTTCACTTATTTACTTATGTAGACCCAGGACTGAGGCTGTAGACCCAGGACTGAGGCTGTAGACCCAGGACTGAGGCTGTAGACCCAGGACTGAGGCTGTAGACCCAGGACTGAGGCTGTAGATCCAGGAATGAGGCTGTAGACCCAGGACTGAGGCTGTAGATCCAGGACTGAGGCTGTAGACCCAGGACTGAGGCTGTAGACCCAGGACTGAGGCTGTAGACCCAGGACTGAGGCTGTAGACCCAGGACTGAGGCTGTAGACCCAGGACTGAGACTGTAGACCCAGGACTGAGGCTGTAGACCCAGGACTGAGGCTGTAGATCCAGGACTGAGGCTGTAGACCCAGGACTGAGGCTGTAGACCCAGGACTGAGGCTGTAGACCCAGGACTGAGACTGTAGACCCAGGACTGAGGCTGTAGACCCAGGACTGAGGCTGTAGACCCAGGACTGAGACTGTAGACCCAGGACTGAGGCTGTAGACCCAGGACTGAGGCTGTAGACCCAGGACTGAGGCTGTAGACCCAGGACTGAGGCTGTAGACCCAGGACTGAGGCTGTAGACCCAGGACTGAGGCTGTAGACCCAGGACTGAGGCTGTAGACCCAGGACTGAGACTGTAGACCCAGGACTGAGGCTGTAGACCCAGGACTGAGACTGTGGACCCAGTATAAATATTCTTTTTCTATTTTCAGTTCTTCTCTGAAAGTGAAAGTAAACCTTGTCATGGCGCCTTGGTCCTGTCACGATCCTGCAGCGACGAAGGAGAGAGAGGAGAGGGAGGAGAGGGAGGAGAGGGAGGAGAGGGAGGAGAGGGAGGAGAGGGAGGAGAGAGAGGAGAGGGAGGAGAGGGAGGAGAGGGTGAACAAAAACAAGATGAAGGAGGAGCAGATGGTTGGATGATGGAGGAGAAGAAGGAGGTGACTTCAGCCTCAGGACTCAGGCGTCTAGACACTGAGTGGTTTGGAGAGCAGCTTCACGAGGAGGAGGTGACGGTACAGGAGGAGGAGGTGAACCAAGAGGAAGAGGAGGTGGAAGTCTGGGAGGATGAGAAGGAGGTGAAAGTCCAGGAGGACAAGGAGGTGAACGTCCAGGAAGAAGAGGAGAGGGATGAGAACCAAGAAGAGGAGGAGGTGAAAGTCCAAGAGGAGGAGGAGGTGAAAGTCCAGGAGGACAAGGAGGTGAACGTCCAGGAAGAAGAGGAGGGGGAGGAGAATCAAGAAGAGGAGGAGGTGAAAGTCCAAGAGGAGGAGGAGGAGGAGGTGAAAGTCCAAGAGGAGGAGGAGGAGGTGAAAGCTTTTCCCAAAGCCCAAAACGTTTGTTGGTTTTTGGTGAAATGTGGAGAAAAGAAAGTGAGGTTTTACCAAAGACCTGGTCTGATGGTCTCCAGAGCCGGGGACAGCGCCTCCTCCTGGGCAGGTCCTGCACTGCAGCGGGAGGAGGTGCCAGTGGAGGAGGTCCCAGTGGAGGAGGTCCCTGTGGAGGAGGTGCCAGTGGAGACAATCCCAGTGGAGAAGGTCCCAGTGGAGGAGGTCTCAGTGGAGGAGGTGCCAGTGGAGGAGGTCCCAGTGGAGGAGGTCTCAGAGGAGGAGGTCTCAGAGGAGGAGGTCCCAGTGGAGACAATCCCAATGGAGCAGGTCCCAGTGGAGGAGGTCCCAGTGGAGGAGGTCCCAGTGGAGACAATCCCAGTGGAGGAGGTCCCAGTGGAGACAATCCCAGTGGAGGAGGTCCCAGTGGAGGAGGTCCCTGTGGAGGAGGTGCCAGTGGAGACAATCCCAGTGGAGAAGTTCCCAGTGGAGGAGGTCTCAGTGGAGGAGGTCCCTCTGGAGGAGGTGCCAGTGGAGGAGGTCCCAGTGGAGACAATTCCAGTGGAGGAGGTCCCAGTGGAGGAGGTCCCAGTGGAGGAGGTCCCAGTGGAGACAATCCCAGTGGAGGAGGTCCCAGTGGAGACAATCCCAGTGGAGGAGGTCTCAGTGGAGGAGGTCTCAGTGGAGGAGGTCCCAGTGGAGACAATCCCAGTGGAGGGGGTCCCAGTGGAGGCCAGACCTGGTCCTGGATCAGGAACCGTCCGAGAAGCTGAAGCTGTGGAAGAGAAGAGTCTCAGGACTCCACCGGGCTCTGGACCTGGCTCTGGACCTGGCTCTGGACCTGGCTCTGGACCTGGCTCTGCACCTGGTTCTGGACCTGGTTCTGGACCGAAGCAACAGCAAGAGCCAGAGTCCGGACCTTTTAGTCCGTCTGAAATAAAAACCCAACAAGACCCAGAAAGAAGAATTGGTACATGGTCCAAAGCGGTCCACAAACACATGACTGAACCAGTAAGACCAGCAGAACCAGCAAGACCAGCAGAACCAGCAGGACCAGCCGAACCAGCAAGACCAACAGAACCAGCTGAACCAGCAGGACCAGCCGAAACAGCAGGACCAGCCGAACCTGCAGGACCAGCAGGACCAGCGAGGAGGTCCAAGACACAACATAGGACACAATCTAGACCAGTCCCATGGACAAAAGACGTCAATCAGACCAGGTTTTCATTCCAAGAATCCAAGTCCCCACCAGGTTCTGGACCAGATCATACGTTTGCTCTGAAGACACAACACGAGGCAGAATCCAGACTTGGCTCCGTGTCTGAAGCCGTCCCAGATCCTCAACAAGATACAAGCTTCAGATCTGGTCCCGGGACGAGAGTCCAACAGACCCGTTGGTCTAAGGACACGTCTGGACCAGTCCAGAACAGCAGGAGCGAGACCAGGTCTGGACCAGTCCAGGAGAGCAGGACCGACACCAGGTCTGGACCAGTCCAGGAGAGCAGGACCAAGACCAGGTCTGGACCAGAAAGAGCAGAACATGGTGTGGACCAACCCAACGATGGTGAGTTTCACTGAAGAAAAACTGTTCTGGGCCTTTAGGGACACAGCATCTGTCACGATTGCAGTGATTATAGTGATTGCAGTGATTATAGTGATTACAGTGACTATAGTGATTGCTGTGATTACAGTGATTATAGTGATTATAGTGATTATAGTGATTGCTGTGATTACAGTGATTATAGTGATTACAGTGATTATAGTGATTATAGTGATTACAGTGATTATAGTGATTATATTGATTATAGTGATTGCTGTGATTACAGTGATTATAGTGATTATAGTGATTGCTGTGATTACAGTGATTATAGTGATTACAGTGATTATAGTGATTATAGTGATTACAGTGATTATAGTGATTATAGTGATTATAGTGATTACAGTGATTACAGTGACTATAGTGATTGCTGTGATTACAGTGATTATAGTGATTATAGTGATTATAGTGATTATAGTGATTGCTGTGATTACAGTGATTACAGTGATTATAGTGATTACAGTGTTTGCTGTGATTACAGTGATTATAGTGATTATAGTGATTATAGTGATTAGTGATTATAGTGATTACAGTGATTATAGTGATTACAGTGATTACAGTGATTATAGTGATTATAGTGATTACAGTGATTACAGTGATTATAGTGATTATAGTGATTACAGTGATTGCTGTTGATTACAGTGATTATAGTGATTATAGTGATTATAGTGATTAGTGATTATAGTGATTACAGTGATTATAGTGATTATAGTGATTACAGTGATTATAGTGATTATAGTGATTACAGTGATTACAGTGATTATAGTGATTATAGTGATTATAGTGATTACAGTGATTACAGTGTTTGCTGTGATTACAGTGATTATAGTGATTACAGTGATTACAGTGATTACAGTGATTACAGTGATTACAGTGATTACAGTGATTACTGTGATTACTGTGATTACTGTGATTACAGTGATTGCAGTGATTACAGTGATTACAGTGATTATAGTGATTACAGTGTTTGCTGTGATTACAGTGATTATAGTGATTATAGTGATTACAGTGATTGCAGTGATTACAGTGATTACAGTGATTACAGTGATTACAGTGATTACAGTGATTACTGTGATTACCGTGATTACTGTGATTACAGTGATTGCAGTGATTACAGTGATTACTGTGATTACGGTGATTACGGTGATTACTGTGATTGCGGTGATTGCGGTGATTGCAGTGTGATTATAGTGATTACAATGATTGATGTGATTACAGTGATTACAGTGATTGCAGTGATTGCAGTGATTGCAGTGATTATAGTGATTATAGTGATTACAGTGATTACAGTGATTGCTGTGATTGCAGTGATTATAGTGATTACAGTGATTACAGTGATTACAGTGATTACAGTGATTACTGTGATTACAGTGATTACAGTGATTAGTGATTATAGTGATTACAGTGATTGTTGTGATTACAGTGATTACAGTGATTAGTGATTATAGTGATCATAGTGATTATAGTGATTACAGTGATTGTTGTGATTACAGTGATTAGTGATTATAGTGATCATAGTGATTATAGTGATTACAGTGATTACAGTGATTACAGTGATTATAGTGATTACAGTGATTATAGTGATTACAGTGATTATAGTGATTACAGTGATCCTCAGAGATAAAGCACACAACAATTTTTGGCTCAGCTGAATGTATCAATCTAATTATAACAAACGTCACCCCAACTCACCACAACTCACCACAACTCACTACAACTCACCACAACTCACCACAACTCACCACAACTCATTACAACTCATTACAACTCACCACAACTCACCACAACTCACCACAACTCACCACAACTCACCACAACTCACCACAACTCACCACAACTCATTACAACTCATTACAACTCACCACAACTCACCACAACTCACCACAACTCACCACAACTCACCACAACTCACTACAACTCACCACAACTCACCACAACTCACCACAACTCATTACAACTCACCACAACTCACCACAACTCACCACAACTCACCACAACTCACCACAACTCACCACAACTCACCACAACTCATTACAACTCACCACAACTCACCACAACTCACCACAACTCACCACAACTCACCACAACTCACCACAACTCACCACAACTCATTACAACTCACCACAACTCATTACAACTCACCACAACTCACCACAACTCACCACAACTCACCACAACTCACCACAACTCATTACAACTCATTACAACTCACCACAACTCACCACAACTCACCACAACTCATTACAACTCACCACAACTCACCACAACTCACCACAACTCACACCACAACTCACCACAACTCACTCACAACTCACCACAACTCACCACAACTCACCACAACTCACCACAACTCACCACAACTCACCACAACTCACCACAACTCACCACAACTCACCACAACTCATTACAACTCACTACAACTCACTACAACTCACCACAACTCGCCACAGCGCTGACACAGACAGGAAGTACACAGGCCGTTCTTTGTTTACAGGAAATGACATCATGCCTCCATATGCACCATACAGAGTTCTATTGGTCTGAAAGTCACAGACCCCAGCTTTAAAGTCACAGACCCCAGCTTTAAAGTCACTTCTGTTTCTCTGATTCCAGTGAGTCCTGTTCGGTTTGGAGTCAGACTGAGAAGAACTGAGGCTCTGCAGAGATTCATCACAGAGCAGGTTAGTCCTGGGTCTACAGCCTCAGTCCTGGGTCTACAGCCTCAGTCCTGGGTCTACGGCCTCAGTCCTGGGTCTACAGCCTCAGTCCTGGGTCTACAGCCTCAGTCCTGGGTCTACAGCCTCAGTCCTGGGTCTACAGCCTCAGTCCTGGGTCTACAGCCTCAGTCCTGGTCTACAGCCTCAGTCCTGGATCTACAGCCTCAGTCCTGGGTCTACAGCCTCAGTCCTGGGTCTACAGCCTCAGTCCTGGGTCTACAGCCTCAGTCCTGGATCTACAGCCTCAGCCCTGGGTCTACAGCCTCAGTCCTGGGTCTACAGCCTCAGTCCTGGGTCTACAGCCTCAGTCCTGGGTCTACAGCCTCAGTCCTGGATCTATAGCCTCAGTCCTGGGTCTACAGCCTCAGTCCTGGGTCTACAGTCTCAGTCCTGGATCTACAGCCTCAGTCCTGGGTCTACAGTCTCAGTCCTGGATCTACAGCCTCAGTCCTGGGTCTACAGCCTCAGTCCTGGGTCTACAGTCTCAGTCCTGGATCTACAGCCTCAGTCCTGGGTCTACAGTCTCAGTCCTGGGTCTACAGCCTCAGTCCTGGGTCTACAGTCTCAGTCCTGGGTCTACAGTCTCAGTCCTGGGTCTACAGCCTCAGTCCTGGGTCTACAGCCTCAGTCCTGGGTCTACAGCCTCAGTCCTGGGTCTACAGCCTCAGTCCTGGGTCTACAGCCTCAGTCCTGGGTCTACAGCCTCAGTCCTGGGTCTACAGCCTCAGTCCTGGGTCTACAGCCTCAGTCCTGGGTCTACGGCCTCAGTCCTGGGTCTACAGCCTCAGTCCTGGGTCTACAGTCTCAGTCCTGGGTCTACAGCCTCAGTCCTGGGTCTACAGCCTCAGTCCTGGGTCTACAGCCTCAGTCCTGGGTCTACAGCCTCAGTCCTGGGTCTACAGCCTCAGTCCTGGGTCTGGGGACCCTCTCTCCTCTCTCTCCCTCCTCCACACACACCTCCTTCACTCACCTCCTCCTATGGGACATGAACACCTCCCTAAGGACGAGACCAGGAGGAGACCCACCTCCACTGGTTCCTCTCCACATGGGGGAGCAGCGGCTCTACTCTGAGCGTTTGCACTGGTGTCATTTTTAAAGATGAAATGATCTAAAGTGTTTGTGTTCACAGGATGCAGAGTGCACCAGTAAAGGGAGGGAGGTGCTGCCCCCCGTGGACAGCTCTGGTACTGCACCAACACAGACACAACACCCTTCAACCCCGTTCATCGGCATAGAGCTGATTGGCTGAGAGAGGGGGGTCCCCTCTTTGATCTGAACATGTGACATCACAAATACATGAAACCAGAGACATGGAGAGTCACAGACCCCAGCTTTAAAGTCACAGACCCCAGCTTTAAAGTTAAGATAAGATAGTTTATTGATCTGTGATGTCACATCATGGATAGAATCATCAGATTGTGCAAAGACAGAAATGTGCGACATGTTAAAGGGGACATATCATGAAAAATCCACTGTGCCTTAAATGCCTTATGTTGTGAAGTTGGAGCCTCTAGAAGTGCAAAAAAGTTTAAATCAGTCTCTTCATGGGTTGCAGAGAACACTTCATATTCTGTTTAGGTAAGATTTTTCAACCTGTTCTGATTTTGCGATTCTCTATTACGTTTTGTGAATGATTAAGTCACAGTATTTGCAGCGAGACTGCCATATAAGGGCATGGGCGTCTAACAAAACACTTCGGCCCAGCCCTCCTCTACTGTGCATCACTTCGAATTTGTAGTCCAAGCTCAAGGATGCCAGCGAACAGGGCTGGACTGGCCACCGGGCGTACCGGGCAATGCCCAAAGGGCCGATGCCCATATTTGGGCCGGTCTGTCTGCCTCATACAAAACACATGTTTATGAGAAGTGTAAATCCGTTTAGAATTGTTGGAGCGGGGCGCGCGTATCCGCGGGGCACCTGCTGTATGTACTCGAACGGGATTCCACCACCTCAGCGGCCGCAGTGTTCCGGGGCATCTGCGGCCGCTTTGTAATGAGCAGCTTCTGCGTCCAGCGGCTGTGAGAGGCTGTGAGCGTCCAGCGGCTGCGAGAGGCTGTGAGCGTCCAGCGGCTGCGAGAGGCTGTGAGCGTCCAGCGGCTGTGAGAGGCTGTGAGCGTCCAGCGGCTGTGAGAGGCTGTGAGAGGCTGTGAGCGGCTGTGAGCGTCTAGCGGCTGTGAGAGGGCTGTGAGCGTCCAGCGGCTGTGAGCGGCTGTGAGCGTCCAGCGGCAATTAGAGTTAGGGTATAGAGTTTAGGAGTAGGGGTGCAGAGAGTAGAAGTAGAGTTAGGGTTTAGGGTTAGGGCTAGAGTTCGGGTTTAGAGTAGCGTCTAGCTAGGCTAGGGTAGGTTAGGGTTTTTATTAAAGGGTGTTAGGTAGAATTAGGTAGGGTTTGGGTTAGAGAGAGCAGAAGTATAGGTTTTTTGTAGAGTAGCAAGTAGAGGTAGTAGGTAGGGAGGTAGAGTAGAGTGAGAAGGGTTAGATTAGAGTAGGTGGTGAGTAGAGCTAGGGTGGGTAAGGCTAGGAAGGTTCGAGTTCTGATGCTTGAATAGAGTAGCTAGAGTGGAGTAAGTTGGAGTTTTAATTAGGGGTAGGGTTAGGGGGGTTATTTAGGTGTGTAAGGTAAGAGTTGCTTAGTGAGTGAGAGTATAGGGTAGTTAGGGGTCAGAGGTTCGAGGTATCAGAGGGTAGAATCGAGTAGGGTTTCTAGTGGTTAAGATGTTGAGTAGGGTTAGAATTCGAGTATAGAATGGTTTTATTTTTAGCGGAGATTGTATTTTAGAACGGTAGGATAGGGTTAGGGATGTAGGGGTAGGGTAGAGTTGAGTTGAATGAGTAGAGTTAGAGTAGTTTATATCGTATATAGTAGGTGTTAGGTATTTAGTCTGGTGCTCGGTGAGTTATAGAGCATCGAGCAGTAGAAGAGTGTCTGGATAGCAGTATTGTTAGAGAAGTGTTAGAGAAGGGTAGTATTTTGGGGTTTAGGGGGGGGTGTAGGTACCTTAGGTAAGGGTGTATTTTATTTTTTAGTGATTAGGTTAGGTAGGGTGTTTTTTTTATTAGGTAGGTTATTTTTAGGGAAGGTTTAGGGTAGAGCAGAATGTTAGGTAGGTTATAGTTTTAGGGTTTATTTAGGTCGGGGGGGGGTTAACAGGGTTATTTCTTAGGGGGGGTTGTAGGTTTTTTAGGTTAGGGGGTAGGATAGGTTATTAAGGTTTAGGGTGTATAGGTGGTTTGAGTTATAGGGGTTCTTAGTTTTTTTAGATAGAGTAGTTAGAGAAAAGTGCGAGAATGGGGTTGGGTTTGCTTGGGGGTTAGAATTTTTTGTAGGGATAGTAGAATCGGAGAGAAGAGAAGGGTAGGGTAGAGAGAGCATGTGATTCCGTCGGGCTTTTTAGAGTAGAGTTTAGGTTATAGATTTGGTAGTTAGATATATAGATTATAGAGTTTTTTAGATTTTAGATATTTTGTAGTTAGAATATTATTTTAGTATAAATTAGAGAGTAGGAGTTAGATAAGATTTTTTTTTTAAGTATTAAGAGCTTAGGGGTTTAGTTTATTTTTTTTTTTAGTATAGAGTTTTTTTTTTTAGATTTTTAGGAGGTTAGTAGAATACGAGTCGAATAAGTTAGTTAGAAGAATTTTTTATTTTTTTTTAGGTTTTAGAGTTAGTTAGCACAGTTTTTATGTTAGAGTAGAGATTAGTTTTTTTTTAGAGTAGAGTGTTTTAGAATTAGGTTAGCATTTTAGTAGAATTTTTAGAGTTCGTATTAGATAGAGTTTTAGTTTTAGATAGAGATTTTTAAAGTTTAGATAGCGTTTTAGTATTTCTGATTTAGATTAGATAGTAGGGTTTAGAATTAGAGTTAGATTGAGTAGATCGAGTGAGGTAGACTTAGATTTAGATCGTAGAATAGTTTAGATATTTTTAGATTTAAGAAGTATTTGTTAAGTTTTTAGAATAGTTGTTTTTTTTAGTTTAGACTTTTTAAGTTTAGTTTTAAGGATTTTTTAGATAGTTTTACGATAGCAAGTGTTAGAGTAATAGAAGTCGGAGAAAGTACTAGTGTCGTTATTTTACAGTAGAGATATTAGAGTAGAATAGAGTAGGTAGAAGAGTACTAGAGTAGTGTGGGTTTAGATCGTGTGAGTTCTTTATAGTAGTCGAGTTAGTAGAGTTAGAGTCGTAGTTCTAGAGTTTATTTTTAGAGTTATTATTTTTATGAGTTAATGGAAGGGTAGAGTAGACAGATGTAGGAGTAGATATAGAGCTTAGAGAGTCGGTAGTGTTAGTTTATGGGTTAGTATAGCTCTAGTTTTAAGTAGGGTAGGTGGTTAGAAGTTTAGTAGAAGTATCAATAGAGTTAGAGTTTTAGAGTTTATATATAGAGTAGTAGAGTTAGGAAAGTTTTAGAGTTGTATAGGAGAGTATAGAGTAGAGTAGGGTTTTGAGTTTTGGTGGTAGAATTTATAGGTTAGAGTAGTAGTTTTCGCAATTGTTTAGAGTTTAGAGTTATAGAGTATTAAGTGTATTTTTTTAGTAGTTTAAGTTTGGGTTTTAGAGTAGAATATTGAGTAGTTTTTTAGAGTAAGTATAGTAGAAAGTGTTTTATAAGTAGAGTTTAGAAGAGTGTAAAGTTTTGAGTTAGAGTAGTTTAGAGTAGAGTTTATTAGAGTTGTATTAGTCGAGTAATTAGATTAGTTTTATTTTTAGAAGAGTGATTTTCTATGTTTAGGATAGGTTAGATTATTAGGTAAGAGTAGATTAGAAAGTTTGTAGAGTAGTAGAAAGTGTTTAGATTTTTTTTTTTTTTATGAGTTATTAGGAGTAGAAGGTAAAGAGTTCGAGTTTATTGTAGAAGGAAGGAGTAGGGGTATAGGGTAGAGTATAGAGATCAAGTAAGTAAGTATTAGATGAGTAGAGAGGATGTATTAGAGATGTTCGAGTAGCATTAGAGTTTTAGAGATTAGAATGACAAGATTATCGAGTAGGTATAGGAGCCAGAAGAGTAGAGGTTGGTTAGATTTAGATAAGATAAAGAGTATAGATAGAGATTATAGAGAGTCAGAAGAAAGAGTTATTTAGGTAGAAGAGTATTGAGTAGGAGTAGGTAGCGAGTATAATTTTTAAGGATGAAATAGATAGTAGAAGTTTTAAGTAGTTAGAAGTAGAGGATAGAGAATAGTAGAGTCGAGTATTGTCGAAGTAAGTAGAGAAGTAGAGAAGAGTAGAGCGAGATAGAGAGTACTTAGAAGTTGAGGACGGCGAGGAAGAGTTAAGGAGTAGAGGGAGGATAGATTAAAGTTAGTTATTAAGAAGAGTAGAAGTTGAAGGTAGAGAGGTAGAGCGAAGAGAGAGAGATTACGGAAGGAAATAGTTAGATTAGAAAGAGTGAGAGTTATAGATTTAGAGGTTCAGGTAGAGAAAAGCGGGTAAAGAAAAGTAGAGGAGAAAGGGTTGGTAGGGGTTTTAGGAGAGGAAGCAGAGGCTGAGAGTATACTAGTTGATTTAGTAGAGGTCAGACACACAGAAGCAGGATAATAATTTTAGAGCAGAATTTTTGTTATTAGAGCACCAATTAGAAGTCAGAACAGAGTAGATAGAACGCATAGCTGTGTAGGGAGGCGGGTGTAGGGTAGAAGGTAGATAGTGGAGCACAGCACGCCCAGGTTTTAGAAAGATTAAGAGCCTAACAGTTATATATTATCTGAGGGGTGTGGTTTAGAGCAGAGCCTAGACTTGAAGCAGACATTTTTAGGTTATAGAGTTAGTTAGAGCCAGATTTTAGGGGGTTATTAGGTCGGTAGAAGCAGTTAAAAAGGAGGGTAAGGGGTAGGGGTTTATAGTGGGTTAGGAGACTTTTGGAAGCCAGCCGCATTAGGGATTAGATTTGAAGGGTCTTAGGGTAGGGTTATTAGAGTTAGTAGATGTTTTATGACAAGAGTGTTTTAGGTTTTAGATAGTTTAGATGCTTTGGGTGTTTCTTTTGAGACTAGATGACGCAGAGCTGAGGAATAGTATGTTTTTATTTTATTTTAGGCTTTAGAATAAGCAGAAAACCATTAGATACAAGATGAAGAAGCCACACCCTAATTTTTTAGTTTTTGGTTTATAGAGCAGCAGCAGAGAGTAGGGTAGAGTAGAGTAGTGGTTAGAGTAGTATTTTAGAGTAGAGTATTTAAAAAAGTTTTTTCGGATGAGTTAGTAGTAGTAGGTTGAAGTGCTAGGTTGGAGGTTTGTAGCGGGAAGTCG